TAGCAGGTGGAACGACGCACGAACAGCTGCAGCGGTTTGTAAGCAGGACCCTGCCTCAGTTAAATGGGACTTGTTTGAATATGATTTTGAGAGTCTGATATTGATTAGCTGACGTAGCGATAACTGCAGGATCACAAATAGTTTGTACTCTCTATTTCCCTCTCCAGCATCTTTCCTCTTGTCATTATCACCCCTCGTCCATTACCTTCCACTGTTTTATTTTACTCTTTCCTAATTCCTCTCCCCTCCTATTCTCCCTCATAATCGTATAGTGTTCAATATGTTCACCTTCATTTAGCGTGTTAGCATGCCAACAGCCACTACTACTAGTCCTGCTTCTCTTGCTGCTCCTGCTTAGGAGCTTAGTAGCAGCGATACTGGCGGATAGATGAGCACTGCTGCTGCCTCTAGTGCCGTGATCTTTGCTACCAGTGCAATCAAAGGTAAATCATTTTGTCTTATAGTTGGACAAAGAAACACAGGTGTTGATTGTACCTCGGGCCAGATGCTCAGTGAAGCTCAGCTGACAGGTTTGAGTCATTTGTCATCCCGTGTTTCTTCCAACCCACGCAAACAGACAGCCGGATATGCAAATCCCCTCCTTTTGTTTCTTTCAAAGGTCTTTTTTATTTGATTCTTAGGGATGAACAAGACAAAGGCCTGTTTGTGAGATTAGCTCCACACACAGACACTCGAAAGCGATCTTTAAAATGCCACTCATATCCGCAGGTAACGCACAGTTTTGTTTATTACACCTGACAGAAGTTCATCAGCACCCCTGAGCGGTGGCTGAATGGTCGTGTTTACCGTTATCTCTGCCCGTCGCACACAAGGGGCATCACTGTGAGGCTGCCTGCGGGCCACCACAATGCATCATGGGTGACTGTGTTTCTTTAGGTAGAGGATATGAGGGCTCTGAGAATAAAACTGCGTATTTAAATATTGTTCGTGACGATGCAGTATGACGAGAACCGACATGATTCCTCTTGTTTATCTTTCTTCTTCTTCTTGGGGGATTTAAATTTAGTCCAGCAACCAATTTTCCAAGGTCTGGGAGATATGAATATTTCACTTATAAATATTTATACCAACTATGCGGCATCGGTTTTGCCTGAAAAAATACATTAGTCAGTGATCTGTGCTTTTTCCTTCACTGCAAAGCATAATATAATAAAGTGCAAGACAGTGTTTTAGAGCTCACTACTTAATCAGCAATGAGGCAGAGTGGAGGCCTTTATCAGGGAGTTGTAATGGTGAAATATTTATGGTACACTGAACTTACTTTTTTTTCAAGTTAATTTAAGGAAAGAAGAAGAACTCCGATCCTTAACTTAAGTAAAAACCACAGTCAATCCAAAGTAAAGTAGTTCTAATTCATCACTGGACAATGATCTTGTCTTCTGGGGTTACGTTTGAGTTACAGGACGTGTTTCACTGACTCAAAGGCCCGCTCAACCCACAGTCAAAATTACAAAATTTTGCCACCAAATTGTGTTATTCCAATAGAATTGCTGCAATTAGCGGATTCGCTCACGGGGGCAAAGTGAGGACTGAACTGTGGTGACCTTTAACTCGGAGGTTTGTGCCGTTGATGAATAGCAGACCGCATTGACGGTGCCGACGTTTGTGGGAGTGGAGAGCCAGACAGACAGACGCGGGAAGCTACTGTAGCGTCTTAGCTGCTTTGAAAGGAATATTTAAAGACGGTGATAAGACTGATGATACAAATACAACTTTTGAATGAACTGTGACTTTAATAACACTTTTTATTGATTGAAATGTACAAAGAAGAAGCTGTTTTGACTATTTAGCGAGGGCATGTTCACGGTTGTCTAGCTGCCAGTAGCCTATTCACATGCTGATGGTTATATTTAGTTACCATAGATTAATGTTGGTACTTAATCTAATTGATATTAACAGGGGAAAAATGGCTCGGCTTTCATCAGCTTCTGTGGTTGCCGTCAGTCTATATAAGTAGCCGTGATGGTCGGCATGTAAATCTATAAACCAGCAACGCTTTAGCATTTTTTACAGTTGCCAAATATCTTCGTGTCGTGGTCAGCGTTGTTGCGTTGCGTAGGAGATGCATTGACCGCAAACATTCACCCTGCACGGTCATTCAGCGTTTGGAGATGATCTCTTTCACCTCCTTTGTCTTTCCACCGTTTTCTCCTCAATCCTCTTAAAAGTCCGGCTCCCTACTCCTAACAGGGCTAAGATGTTCTGGGAATAACCTTTGTCTTTACCAGGATCTTGTCTTAACTCTAACGGGAAGTTGTTAGAAAATGTCACTATTAGTTTCGTCACTAGGAGCAACTCTTTGAACTAGAAAGCTTTATGGACGCAGCCCCTATGAGGAGGCAATAGGGGCTCACAACGAACGTTAATTCAGCTAAGATGTTACAATGCATCATATTCTCCAAGAAAATGTTCGACAATATGTTTGTATGTAAAATATTGATAAGCAACTATAAAAAATGTCTGCTTTTCTTTTTGTTTTTTTCAAATGGCATTTGTTCATGTCCAGACTGCACATCCGGCAGTGAACGGAGGAATCTGCAGTAAACAGCGACTCAATTGAATTATTGATTTGAAAATGGCGATAGCGGGAAAGCCTTTCATTACCGACCTCAACACTTTATTTATTGAAAGTTTGCCATCAGAAACAGTCAGGCGAGAAGAACATTTCTGGCTCAGTGAGTGTGACGATTTCAATCAAGCTTCCACTAAACACAAAGTTATAAAGTATGAAGTTTATTCACGCCTTTTTGGGGAACGCGTTCTGGTACATGGATGTGGGGAGTGTGTCTGAGTGACGCCTGTAATTGGTGAGGAGCGATCGGCCCGCATGCAGAAGTGATGAGGCTGGATAAGGAGGAAGCTATTTGTTTAGACGCTGTTCAACTCAAGCTAATTAATTTCAGTCAGACGTGCTTTGCTGTCAACATCCTCAGGCTTTATTATTGGCTCTCCTATTATCAGATTCTGAGTAGTGTTTGCATTCCCAAAGAGAGTAGGGGCACATTAACCACAAGTTAATTAGCTGGGTACCAGTGTGTGCTCAAGGTGTGGCTCTGCTTTAGGATGGCGAGAGGATATTTTAATGTGAAATACTAATATTCTGCAAAAGTTTTCCATCATGTGCAGATGAAGGATATGTCACCTGCACCTTCACCTTTTCCCCATGATAGTGAAACAATTCATCTTTGATCGTGTGACGCCGCCTGCTGTGTAAAACTTAGTTAGGGACATGAGGGAAACGGTTTATCATTCTGAATATTTCAAGACCTCGGATCAAATATTTATACCCTAAATAATGAACTCGCGTCTCGTTGTCTCTGACTTTATATGTGGGATTTTCCCAGCAGAGCATACGCAACCCAAGTCACCCTTGATTATCTCGCCTACAGGTTGGGCTTCACTGTTTTTTTGTCAATCGCGAGTGAGTAATGGACTCCCTTAACACCTTCGTTTTCTGAATTTGAAATGGATCCCCAGGGGAATAATGCCAGCCTCCGGAGTTCATTGTGCTATAAAAGGACCCGGTGGAAGCAGAAAGTCCCATTGGGAGAGTTCATCGGCGCCAGGCGTAACATGTAACACTTTGTGGTCTGCCGGCCCGGATTATTGGGGCGCATGTCTCCCTATCATTATCCTCCAAAGGTCAAGCGTGCCGACAGTAACAATGGGGATTGTGGCAACAGATGTATTAGGAAGGTCAGGTCTCCTCTGTCTGCTTTTGGGAAAGGTCAAAAGAAGAAAAAGTCAGGGAGCGAGCGACGCTGTGGATGACAGGGTGATGTTTGGGGTTCTTCACTTACTCTACTTTAAATTATGTATCTTATGTTTGGGTTGATTTACAAACTTTTACTTAAGACAAAAATGACAAAAGTTAAAAAATCAAACTGTCCTCTGCAGCAAATCCTCCTTTAATTGAACCCAGATCAGCTTTTCAGCCAAACCGGGTCATTCCGAAACAGTCTCACATAATAGGCTCTGAAATGCCAATTTTTTTCCTTTTGCTCCGTTTCATATCAGCTGAGGATTGCGAATGGCTTCCAGAGAGTTCTCTCTGCCTGACCTTATCTTTGAAGCATCCGTCGGCCTTGTTCTATACAGGACCTCCAGCTGATGTACTGACCTTCTGCCTGCCATGTTGGAGGTCCTCACCTCCTGAGCACTGGGAAGCTGTGAACGGCTTCATATTTCAACTCATATTTCCCAACTGACTTCACTCATGAAACTGTAGTTAATATAAAAGTAAACATTACAGTGTGAATATATGCCAAAGGATATTTCTGACCTGGTTTTGATATATTTGATATATTCACAGTCGCCATTATTTGTAAACTACTGCAACCACAAAAGTTTCATGTTCGGCACAACATTTCTTACTAGCACACCAGCGGTAGGGTGCTATTTGGAGTGTATTTGGGTGAGTGAAGACAGCTGTGTAGCCAGCTGTCAGCAGAACCCACATCTTTCCAAATTTACAATAAAGATGGTGGAGATAAATGAGTGACGCACTCTGTCAGCTATATTTAGCCGCTATTTGGATGCAAGGTGTCTCGAGGGATGTCAAAGTCTCTGAGATGGGTGGTCACATTAGTAAGACCTGCAAGCAAACCAAACTATGTACACTTATTTTTTTATTTTTTAATATTTACAAATATTAGAAAATAATGGTGGTAATAAACTTTTTCAAGCATTTAACATATTGTGTAATGAAAATAATCATCACAACACCTACGAAAGCTTCTCACATGGGTGACGGTGTAATGTCATTTCCATATCAAAAGCATAATGTGTATTTGAGTGTTTCCAGTGAGTGCGTTTCCTTTTCATCTGGACACATTTGCGTTCAAACAGCCGCGCTATCGGCTCCTCCAGAAGGACCGAGACCGCTCCGCGCACACACTTCACCCGCCTCCTTCTGTCTCTCTGCTGCTCCTGAAAGGCTCGTCAGATCAGTGTATTGAGTGTGCTTTTCTCTCCCCCAGGAGTACCAGATCGATATTATCTTCGCCCAGACCTGGGTGGACACCCGTCTGCGGTTTAACAGCAGCAACAGCAGGCGGCTGACCCTCAACAGGTATGCTGGGTTCACTGCTGTATCTCAAATTCACACATGTGTCAGCTGTGCGGGTGCCACGTCGATAGCTTTCTGTCGGGAATCACGGCATTTTATGTTTAACGATGATTTTTTTTTTTTTTTAAATGAACTCTTAAGACGCCGCTGTGACACGTTCTTTCCACTGTAACAACTGTTGTGTTTCAACATTTTCATACTGTGAATATCTCATTTGAGAGCAATATTCGTCTCTCTCTCGGGAAGAGGCCTGTAATTAATGGAACAAATTGATTGATGTGCCTTGTTTTCACTGCGTCGCCCGGGTATTTTATTATCCTCTTATTGGGAAGTGGATCTGCTTCATACATTTCAGAGAAAGATGAAGGAATTCAACAGGAATCGTTTCTTACCTTCTGCCCCCCTCTCTCTCTCTCTCTCTCTCTCTCTCTCTCTCCCTCTCTCCCTCTCTCTCTCTCTCTCTTTGTCGGCCTCTTATCCAACCAGCAATATGGTTGGCTTGATCTGGCTGCCTGACACCATCTTTAGGAATTCCAAGAATGCCGATTCCCACTGGATCACGACGCCCAACCAGTTGCTCCGGATCTGGAACAATGGAAAAGTGCTCTACACGCTGAGGTAAAAGACATGAAAACACACAGTTCAGTATAATAATAATTATACATTTATTTTGTATAACCTGCGCACACACGACACACACTTCAATCGAATCTTAACTACTCTGTGTCCTCCTTCTGGCTCCTACTTTAGTACAATTAACTATATATTTCTTCCCCGCATGTTGTTCTCAATATTGAAATCAGAATATCTTCGCTTTTGCTACAAAGCCGTGCTGTTCACAGAGGAACAGAAACTCCTCTTGCATCATTTCAACATGTTACTGCTTGTTTGGTCCTGCTCTCTTTGGCGGCTTCTCGGTGGGAGAGAAATGACACACAGGGGAGGGCGTGCATGGCCTTTTGACGAAATAACCCTCGCCGTGTCAGAAAAAACCCACTCAGGATTGGAGTGGACAGGTTCTTTTTATATTTGAGTGGCATCTGGGTTTATGAACCCTCAAGCTGACATGAGCTCTTTCTGTCTTGGAGGATCCAATTTCACCTGCGTACCCAGGACTTCAAACCAGACCTCGTTCAGAAAGCAAATACAACCATAGTTGTTTGTTTTCCAGCCTTTGGAGGATCGCTCGAGTCGGAATCAATCCTAAGCAGCCACTGGAACCTAATTCTACAAATGGTTTAATACTAACCATTTGCAACTGTGCAGAAAAAGCTTCTTTCAACACAATATATAGACGTGCAAAAAATCTGTTAAGCTTGAATTTAAAATATGAGTGCCCACATTTTGAATGAAGCTCAGAAGCTTTGAACTATTTGATAGAGCCCTTATAAGAGACAGATATTTTAATAAGATAAGATAATATTGCAATTTAATGCATCAGGTGCATTAAAAACATGACTCCAAATGAATGCTAGTGTTGTTTAAACAGGCAACTGTATGCTAACAGCTCTGTACGTGGATGTTCTGTTTTTCAGCTTCCCAAGTGGCTTATGCAGCTTTAACAGGGTTAAGATGGGGTACTTTCTACAGGATATTTTTATGGTTTTATTACGACATCAAACAGTCCCATTTCTTGCTTATTGGCTTTGATGATCACATATAAAGAAAATGATTCAATACGCTTACACTTCACATAAATTGCTGCTTGTATTCAGAGTAAGATGTGTATTTTATTTATCCTTTTGTTACAACCAATCAGCAGTTGAGTTTTGGTGCTCATGGAGCTTCCAGAGACCTCTTCATGTACACTCCTATAAATACACGAATGCAAAAACATACTCTCTCAAGAAAGTCCTCTCCACCACAGCTGCCCACAAAATGTTTGTCTTTCAATAGCTTATTTCACTTCTGCTAATGCGTGCCTCTGTGATGAATTTGAAAATGATTGTTTCATTAATTGGAGATAAAACTTAGCTGAATTTCAGGAGCAGGGCCACGCCTCAGCCACTGCCCCGCTTCCGGCCACACTCCTATAAATACCTACCCACTCTAAGCCTCGGCTCGCTCGCGCTTTCCGCACTCGCAACCGGAACGCCAGGCAGAGAAAAGAAAAAGAAAAAACACTACCTCGCCTGCCGTCCACCTGCCGTCCATCAGGCCACCCGACGACGACGACGCCCAGTTCGCCTCCCGGTGGAAGAGGGAGACCTGCCACCTCCAGACGTAGACAACGGAAACGTAAATCCAGCTCTCTGCTTCTTCGCTCGCTCCAGACCCAGCTCGGGAACGAGCCTCCGACGACTCCGGCTACCCGGCACGCCGCGCTCAAAGACGCCGACACCCCTCCGCACTCCAGCCAGGTCCCCCATCAAAGACGCACCATAGTCCGCCTGCTGAAGCCCCCCTAAAATGTTCTTCAGCCCCCCCAAATAATTTGGCATTATTGGATAAAAAGAAAAACTTTTTTTTTTTGGTGATGTCATTAAATTAAACTATTGTTTCTCACATGGACAAGTTATTTATAACTCTAACATGCTACATATGTGCGTGCGTTCTGGTTTTTATGTTTTCTCCCCCTTCGAATTACAATCCAACAGCCTATCATCATACTTCACGATGTAAAGTTGACACTGTCAGGTCCATTCTCTATCCATTGTGTGCGGTCCCTTTAAGAATTAGGATTTGGGAGTGACGCGGATATGAAAGCTAGTTTATCCGTCTTTCCTTTACAAGCAACGGAACGGATCGCAGGAACGGAACACAGCAACGCAACGGAACGGAACGGCGGAAAGGAACGCCGGAACGGAACGCCGGAACGGAACGCCGGAAGCAACAACGCATAGCAGCAACGCAGTGAAACAACGCAGCCACGGAACGCAACAACGGCGCAGCCACGGAACGAATCGCAGCAATGCAACACAGCAACGGATCACAGCAAGCAACAACACATCGCAACAATGGAAACGCAGCAATGCAGCGGAAGCCACGGAACGACGCAGCCACGGAACGACGCAGCCACGTATCGCAACAACGTATCGCAACATCGTATCGCAACGTATCGCAACAACGTAACGTATCGCAGCAACAACGTAACGTATCGCAACGCAGCAACAACGTAACGTATCGCAACGCAACAACAACGTAACGTATCGCAACGCAACAACGTAACGTATCGCAACGCAGCAACAACGTAACGCAACGCAGCAACGTGACGCAGCAAGCTCAAACGACCAGCGCACGGGCAGACAACCTGCTTCTCAGGAGGACTTATTTTGGGGATCTGCAAGGCCCAGGAGCCGCAGTGGATCCTCAGCTAAGCCTCCCCCAACTGCTACTGGCTAAATCTCCATCAACCATTTCTCAATGCTCCAAATAATCGACGAAGGTTTGCCCTCGGCTGAGGCGGGGTCCTAGATAGTGAAAAGGGTATTAAGTCTGAAAGAGGCGTATGTTTGAAGGCGTATTTGCATTGAGTGATACATCTCTCACACTCGCATCTCGGCCGTGTTTGCTTTCCTCTTGCTCCCCTCACCTCGGCTCGACACTCTTGCCCATATTCGGTCTTCCTGGCTCCCGACAAGGATGGAAGATTATGCAAATTGGGACTGTACACGACATCATCTGCACTTTGTTCACCGACAAACAAGACAAGCGAGACAGTCATTTTCCTGCTTTGAATTAGGCTCCTGTTTCGTGTCAGTCACTCACGGTGAATTAATGAGAAACTGTACCGGGGACAAAGACAACACGGAACAGGCCAAAAGAAAAACCCCATGTTCATGATGGTCTCATTTTTACAGCCATTATCGTATCCAGTGGAATTTTATTTATGGTGATATATCGCAACACGCGGAGAATATCAATTTAGTCTGATTTATATTTTGCATGTAAACCTAATCCCCTCTGTGTTTGTGCTCACCGTTGCTTTCCCAAAACACCTGGTGTATTGACCTGACCAGTGATGATAGCTAAGTACTCCCAGGGCCCAGAGGCTTACAGGGCCCGTGAGTCAATGCCGTCTTCGCCCAAAAACTTGTCCGACGCTGGTGATTAAGCAGTTCTGTCATTTTGAGGGATTTCGCACATCAACGAAGCAACCAACCTGGTTCGAAGCCAGGGGGATAGTGCAGTGTAAGAAGTGATGAATATTGTGCTTCAAGCGCCGAGAAATTAAACCTTTTTAAAGTATTTCTCTCTCTCTCTGTGTCTCTCTCCTTCAGGATGACCATCAACGCAGAATGCCAGCTACAACTCCATAATTTCCCAATGGACGAACACTCCTGTCCCCTCGTCTTCTCCAGCTGTGAGTATTGGAAACGCACGCACTCACAAATGCACAAACATGCTCATATTCATGCGTAGCTCTGCCTATACATGGAACACCTGCTGAAAACGTTCAAAGCCGAGGTGGGGCTCTGTGTGCACACAAAGAAGAAATCCAAGTGGCAACGTCAAAATGGTCACTATTGACAGAATTGAAGTTCCAAAAATGATTGCCCTTTGCGTTTGCAGTAAGAGGTGGTCGGAGCAGGAAATGAGGGCACAATTTTATGCCAACTGTGCCACCTGAAGAGCACAGACAAACAGTTTTTTTTTTTTTTGTGAAAGGTCAATTCCTGTCAGGGCCACACAATTTTGCGTCACCACAATTTTTTCTTTAGCAAGATACACAGACTACGTGGAGGAATCATAAATCAGTCTGCCTGACTCATCGATCCCATCGAGGTTTGAATCTGTGGCCCCGACCACGGCTCTGAAGGAACAGCACTGTGCTGTGTATTGATAAATCCACGGCGCTGTCCGTGGTGCTGAAGTGCAGAACTGAGAGCTCCTATGAAGCAGCGTAGGTTAAACAATGTTGCTGATTTACAACTGCATTTCCCACGCATTCAAATTCTGACCCCGCTATTTTCTATAAGTTTCTATTTCTTCCTCCCACATTTTCCACCCTGATTATACTTCTGCCTCCCAGCGGCTCACGAGAGTCAGATGAGGAGGATGGAGGGGATGAACTTAATGCAGAGAGCCACAGTGAGCCACAATACAGGCATATTTTGAAGTAAGGGTATAAAGTTTCTGAATTCAACAGGAAGCCAGTGTAGACCAGGATTGGGGTCACGGCAGGAAATCAAAAACCGTGAATAATCATCTCCTTCCCAGCTTGAGACACAATAGGCTCACACTTAGCAATATTTCTCTGCTGGAAAAACAGAAACGAATGAAACACTTCCCACGTGGTCCAGAGTCAGCGTCCGGTCAAAAGTGACGCCTAAGTGTCTGACTCAGGGCTGAACAGATGAAGAGAAGGAACCAGCAGTGTCCTGTGTTTGATCAGCTTTAGCTGTACAGAAGGATAATCCATGTGTTGTATATTATTTAGGTAGATCAAGGAAACATGTTCTATTGTAACACATCCACATTTTTATATCCGAAATTGGCAACATATCCGAGGAGATGCAAACTGAAAAGGAAACAAAATATAAATAGTTATTACCAACACAGTAGGGCTTAGGTAATCCATGTCTATGTTCTTGCACATTTAAGTGCTTTAGAGCCAGAAACTGTGGCATGATGACTGCATCAGCACGACCAATGGTTTGACGCTGAGTCCCCAAAGCGTTTATCGTCCCATTAACCAGTGCCTTATTAAGTTACCCTCCCCCCCCCCCATCTAAAAAGCACCAAAATCACATTTAATTTTGTACGACGGGTCATTCTGTTGGACCCAATCATCTTCCAGTGCTAGATGTGATTTAATTAAGGTTATAATCATCACGTAATGCGCCCACAGATGGCAGTATTTATCACAGACCGTTGTGCGTCTCTGCATTGAGTTTGGCTCATTACGTGACTACTTTCACATCACAGTGTGATGGGAGCGGATGTCACTGTCACACTGCTGGTAGTGAAAGAGCTATTGACCGCAAATGGGCTTCCATTATGCCTGTGCTCTCAATGAAAGGATTCGCAGTAACAACCCTTTTTTAGCAAAACCGTGTGGGTGGACATTTTCTTTCTTTTCTGTAGCTGCAACCGAGCAGCTACGATCTTCAACTTCACTGATTTAAAGCCTTTAACGTTGTGTTTTTTGATGTCAATGAATATCGCCATTTTGATAGCTAAGTAATCAAACATATTTTGATTTATAAATAATAATCACTGCATAATTTCACGGCGTACTGTACATTTTAGATGTGGCCTCGCAGCCAAAGTAATGATATTGGTCATACGTAGTGAACACAAATGCAGATAGCATTTTTGCTGAATGATAATTTTCTTCCTCTTTGGAATAATATGAAATACTGTATTGTCAAAAACGGGGCTTTATTAACACGACTTTGTGTGAAGCAGGACTTTGTTACACCCAAAGTTCATGCATTTAGAAGTTCGAAAGAAACAATCTCTGTCATCTGAGAGAATGCTTTTAGATGCCAAAGGAGCTTTGTACATCAGGGTGATAACGGAGCGACACACGACAGCCCTCACTGTTCTCCGCTGTCCAAACACACGGACCTTTCTGACATGCTGCAACATCCTCTGTAACACCACTCAGCGGGCGTTACTGCTAATGTATTACGATACTGTAGAGGCCCTAATGCACAAACATGTTCCGTCTCTTCATCACGAAGCAAATTAAAAGCCTTCCCGTTACGACTGCAATCAATCTCATTAATAACAGTATCAACATGATGAATGCCTTGATGACCTCACTAATCTATCTCATTAATTCTTAATATGTTTTGATAGCGGATGTTGTTTTTTCCCCAGACACTCTGCAAACATGAATTCCTGGCTTTTAAGCGCTCTCTTTCTAGTTTATTCCAAGTGTAATACATTAGGAAACACTCTTCCGATGACAGGTGAGCTCAGCATAAATGCCATAACTATGATTACACGGACCCATGCAGTTACCCACACCACAGGCATAGCCGCAATCACGCCACGCCTAAAGAACACCCTCTGTGGCGCTATATTCGTAGCATATTTACATTCTTAGCACACCTACCATTATATATGAGTAATGTTAAATCAGTCACAATATGCAGGCCGTGATTGATGTCTTGCTGTGTGCAAAATGTCTGACATTTTCAGTACATTTCTTTGCTCCCTGTCAATCAGCTGACAGCTACAGGAAGTACTTTGTCAGAAGTGGGGAAAAAAAAAAGTGTTGGCATGATTTTGCTCACCTGACCCTTTAGATTGCACAATCTATGCTCCATTTAAAAACAGGACTCGGAGGCTACAGTCATTCTAGCAGAGCGTTGAGCTATATGCTACCTCATTGTTGTGTAGCGTGTCAGCATGCTAACATCTGCTTAGCTTTAGTGTTGGGTCTAAAGAACGCTACCTGGACCAGCTATTAAGTAACAAGTTTTGCGCTCCTTTTTGAATTTGATGCTAATGATAGCATAACTCGGTCATTAGTCTTGTGGATGGTTAACGGTTAAGACGTCACATATGCAAATTGGCACTTGGCACAAACTAGCGACATCTAGCGACCCTTCGAGCAGGCTTGCCACTAAATGTAGTTGGAAACACTGGGATTCATCCTCTTGGGACCATGAATGTCTGTACAACGTTTCACCTCAAAGCTAGTTTTTTTTAAAGGCAAGCCGCATAATATGGTAAATAGGGCTGAAACCATTCAGACTGTCGGATTAGTAGACCGGATTATTTGCTATATAATCTATTTGTCAAACATGAAATGTCTGTGGCAGCAGTTGCAAAGTGACAACATGCAGAATTAACCACGTGTCAGTGCTGTTGGAACAGGCGGCTCATGCATTTAAAGATGTAATCAGCAGTTCTGTCACTTTTGTCCAAAAGGCTGAGGACCTCCATCATAACTGCCACGGGGCTTGTTACGTTATTTGAAACCCCTGGCACACGAGTTCTTGAACGGTCAATCATGAGAAGGTTTCAGTCTGATTTTTAAACCGTTTGCTGTCGGTTGTAAAGAATAAGGGAAAGAATCCTCATGCTTACCGTTTTAAACAAATTCCCAAAGCAGCTGACGTTGGAAACAAGCTGTTCCTGACCTTCTGTACAGGTGTGGCTGTTGCAAAGACTCGCTGCTCTGCAAAAAGTGAGGAACATTGTGCTTAGAGTCGGCTGTTTTCTTTCTATTGTCCTCACAATAGCTTATCTTTACTCCACACACTGTAGTGTATTTCAGACAAAGCCTGAACACCGATATGCATGCATGCTTTAGGTAGATAAGCATGGTTTTCCACATTCGAGACTGCTTTTGAGTTCAGAATCTGAATTATAAAGGTAAATTGCAGCCCTGAAATGCAACCTTTTCTGATAGTTAAACTTCGTAGTGGGATACCTATTTAACCGCACGGCAAGTTCCCCAAATGTTGTAAAGGAACAGACATTTTAAATAGCTAAAAGTAATAACCATAGCTTTGTAGGCTTGTTGAACAAGTTGAAAAACTAATTATTGTTCATAATAGCTGCAGTATCACTACGGCTTACATTTCCCAACGCAAGAAACGAGGAGAATTCAAATCTCATTTGCACTTCAAATCCCTCATGTGTCTACTCGCATGATATTGTTTCATACCGCACACATAACAGGACTGTGTTTACAGTAATATGGCAGCAGCGGAGATCCCTCGTGATATTTGCTTCCAGGGTAGACGGGGCCAATATTGGAGGCAAAGCAACAGAAGAGGGTAGTTTATATCACTGTGGAAGAACATGTTGCTTCAGGGGGCTTTCAAAGGCATGAAATATGAGTACCACGGTGTAGCTTTGAAGATACACTAATGATAATACTGTTTGCAGTGAAGGTAATTGTACAAACACACCAAGAGAAATATGATTGCAATAATGTTTGCCATCTACTGTTGATGTTTGGGGGAAAAAAAAACAGAAGTCATGTTTGTGATTGCTCTTCTTGGTTCTCGATGGCTGTCCTCTAAATGAGACTATTTGGCATAATGAAGACCTGCTCATCGCTGTCACTCGTTTGTTTTGCTTCTTCTTTTGTTTTTTACACTGTTGTTAGCTGAGCATAGAATTCCTTGCGTGCTGTTTATGTGCTCGTGTTTAACTGCTGAGGGATCGGCATGTGAAATCCTGCCGTTGTAGTGTTCAGCATGTCCAGGATCAGTGGCGTTAGTGCATTTCCAGCAGGGTCATTGTACTTGAGCGATACGTAGCCTGTAATCTAACACTAGAAACAAACATTTCTATGAATTAAAGTTAAGCAATTTCATTGTATTTTCCCTTTTCACACCCAAGATGAGCGTGTCTTGCAATTAAAGGCTGCTCAGTAATTTTTACCATTAAAATATAATTTCATTCAAGAGCACCCTTGAGACCAATTGACTTGAAATAGGTGAAATTATTCCACTGAAATTAAGATTTTACACTGAGTAATACATTGGGAGACGGGGTATTTGTTCACTCTGGGTGCACTTCAGCAAACAAGTTCACAGTAATTGCTCAGTTGGTCTGCAGTCCAATTGCCGATGAAAACTTCCTGAATGAATTTGTGTAAATCGGGTATAAATCATGCATAGAATAACCGCTGCATTGATCTCTCCTATGACTCGCTCTCTGTGTCGTTCCCAGACGGCTACCCGAGAGACGAGATCGTGTACAAGTGGAGCCGGACCTCGGTGGAGACTTCGGACCAGAAATACTGGCGGCTTTACCAGTTTGATTTCATGGGGCTCAGAAACACCACGGATGTGCTCACAACAACCGCAGGTAGGGAAGATCAACAGCTGTGGCGCTTGAATTGTGACTGATAATGATGTAAAACTGTATTAGTCCCTTCAGGGAAGCTCTTTTCACCCCTCCCCTCCCTTTAGCGGAGGTCAAAGGTCAAGTTTCAGCTGCAGACGAGCTGTCTGGAACTGACTTGCTGTTCAGCAGGCTTCAAAATACAACTCCAGCGCTGCTCGACTACCCCGGTGCCCCAAGCTTTGCACAGGTTAACATTAGCACCGTGCCCATAAATGTAATCATAAAACTACAAGCTCATAAGTATTCCCTCTGGGTGCGAGGGCAAAAAGGTTTCTCCACTGACATTAATCACCAAGATTAAAAAGGAAGTTCAATTATTCACCCCTTTTCCCTCTCTTTCCCCGTGCTTTCAGTGCGGTTATTAGGCCTTGTGCTCTTTGATGACTTCATTTAAGTGTGTTTGGGAGGCACAGAGAAATATTGTTGTTCCAACAGGTGTCCGTAATTAAGCCCACGACTGGCACGGGGATAGACAAGTTCATAATCCATTTTTAATGCTTTCACGTGGCAGATTCTAACAGCTTAATAAGCGGAGCCTTATGAATGAGGGAGATGGAGAAAGAGCATGACGTAGCGATTGTTAACCCCTCTTAACCTTGTTTATGAGTTGCCATAATCCTTCTAGTTTGTGCAATGCGGTCTTTTGTCTTCGGTGCTCGGGTCTGCATAATGTGACCTAATTCAGCTTTCTAAGAGCTGAACCTCCGTTCATGAATATTCGAGGAACAAGAGATAACAAGGAGTGGCATCCAATTATTAAGGAGCTCAGTGGAAATGAGTTGTACAGCTTCATTTTGCACTCACACATGACATGTTCAAATCAAATATATATATATATATATATATATATATATATATATATATATATGTGTATATATATATATATTTTAAGCGACAAATCGGTTTAACTTTTACTCCCAATGGGATCCTGTTTATTCAAATGAGAACTTGTATCTTTGTGCGTCTGATCACACCAGGAAAAAAAAGGTGACTGATGAGCATCCCGAGACTCATCGACGGCCTTATAAATGACGTGTTTTCCTGGACTCCCGCTGCATCGTCACAACACAGCCAAGCTCATTTTCTGCTGAGATGCTCAAAAGCAACAGCAAACCTACACATCCACCTCACGCTGTTCAAGAAATTAGCAGTTTTCTCATTTATTACCTAGTTTCTCTTTCCTGTTTCACTTGCCGGCTCCATCTCCACACGCATGATGATTAGATCCCCGGCTAAAAATACCCATCATTAATTTACATCATGACAAACTGCTGCGTTTCTCTTCCTCGCCGTCTCTTATTTCCTCCCCTCTCTGTCTCCTAACTCTCCAGCTGTATCCTTCGCCCCTCATAAACACATGAGAGATGGGGCTGTTTTAATGAGAACAGAGTGGACAGGTCCCCGGCCACAGAGCCACCGGGGACCTCCGCCACAAATCCTCCGTCGTTATCAATTCAGCCGTGTCCTTTTCAAAAGGCCCCAATGCGGAATCCCAGACACTTCAGCGCTTTGTTCTACTATCCCCTCGCAAATTCCCCAAAAGCTTGTTACATTTTTATTTGCCATACTTGTTCTGGTTTGAAAATGATGTCGTGTATGTAGCCACGAAGTGCACATTTAGGACCCTTTTACAAGGTTTTCCTAGCCATCAGAAGTTAGTATTAGTAGTAATCAGGTTCATAACTAAATCTTAAATAACCATCCCACAGTGATGCTTTAATTTACACAAACATGCACAGAAAAATGTGGAAAGATATCCAAACGTAGTGCAGGAAAAGAAATGCACTTTGTCAAGAAAACAGCATGTATGTCAGTGTCGTGAGGACGTAAGCAGCCACAGTAACAGTTAATGAAAGAGTTTCCCCCAAAAACAATTCCTCGCAGCTTCCAAACAGAAAGCTGAGCTGACCGTATGGCATGACAGAGTCTGGGGACAAAGCTAGGAAAACTGTCGACTGGGGCGAATAAGTATTCTGCAGACAGAGGGGTTGTTACTGTCCTAACCGAATGTAAACAGAGGGGTTGTTTGCTACGATGCACAGTCGGAGCACAGCAGTCGCCACACTGCACACAGTTATAGAGTCCTGAGAGGAAGAAGTAGAGAGGAAGGCGAGCTACAGTAAATTGTTGTTTAATTTACCCCTGTTGGTATCTTTAAATTGTCTTTCAATCCAACCAGCATGTATGTTCAATCTTAACCCACTTTGGATTGCTTTAAAAGAACATACTCTTTATCTTGGACATAAATGGGTACGTAACATAAAACTAGACGGTTTTATGTTCTTATTTTATGTTGCGCATACTGTGTTGTGATTAAGATTTCCTTTGTTGCAACATTAACCTGGTAATTTGCGGTACTCTTTGTGACGTACAGTTAATTAATTCTCTTTAGTACAAGATCGGATTACATGCATCCTTCCTTAATGGGCTATGAAATGCTCTTTGCTCTTTCTTCACAGCATTTTTGTATTGGCAACCATGGGATTTACAGACACGATTTAATATGAATAAAAGGTGATTAAACGCACCTTAGATATTATCTTTATGTTCCACTTCCACACATATTTATTACCTGATGCTTTAACAGTAATTCTTCAAAATGAGACTTTTCTTAAGAGCTATCTACATAAGTGATGTTAAACAAGTTACAAACATGAAAACCAAATACAGAAATAATTTGTTGTTAAATTGTTTGTGCAAAATGTGTCGTAGTCCCTTCACATGCACACAAGTGTGTTATTTCACTTTTAATATTCCGCATATTTCCTACATTATCCACACTTACCATGCTGTACAGTGGGCCTCCATTAAAGGGGACCACACCAATATGTCACTTCCGTGGCCTAAGAACGTTCAACGAATATTTGTGAACGTGAGCTATTCTAAGCCTCAAACTCGTGATGTCATCAAGCTGCTCCACAGACGATGAATGGGACACTGATTTTGTCTTTTTAATACCCAAATGAGCTTTGTTGTATTGTTCTCGGTTGTGAAACAGACAATGTACCCGTGTACTTGGAACATGCTACCTTAAACTTCTACTGTTTGGAAGCCAATATTAGTTACAGGTTCATTTTAAGATTGAGATAAATCAACTAATAAACGACTTATTATTGAGTCGAAAGGCTGTGTTGTAAAGCGAGCGCCTGAGTGGTGGCAGATTATAAATCAACGATCTTCAGTAATATTTAAAGTAATGCTCGTCTGATGCGTCGAACTTTGTCGAGGTCATGGAACAATGGCTTTTGTTCGTTGAGTGTTGCAGCTCAATGTGAGCTGTACATCCAGCTGTACGAAGGATCATATAAATGTTTGACGAAAGTGCACATTAGATTTGTGAGTTTGTGAGGGGCTGCTGTCAATTAATGCACTCCTGTCAGTCAGACCTGTGAAGAGGCAGCAGAATGAAGTCTGTCACCATCCCCTCACATTGGTGGTGACATTGCAAAGTTGTTTGAGTTGGAGAGAAGGTTCTTCATCGGTTTCCTGGGCTCCATTAAGCTCTTTCTGCCCTCTGCTCGGTGTGAATCTTATTCACCAGATTTTCTTCTCCTTCCGTCCGTGTCTTCTCCCCGTCTGTCTGCCTTCCCATTTGATCCACATTATTTTACTTTAAGCAATTATAGATCTAATTCCAAACCATCAGAAAAAAATGTAACACTTTTCTGATGTCTTGTATGACCAGAAAAGAAGGACTTTGACACATTTCAGTGACATTTATCGGCTCTTCACTGCACAGAAACGGTCTTGATTAAAGGTACTGAAGACCTTCGGACACTTCTAACGATCTCATTAGAAAAGTGTCTGAAATGGTTTCACCCAAACAACTGACACTAAATGGCTCTTTTAAAAAAAAAAAAAAGAACAAATCTTTTTGTGTGTTCCTCGGGGGGGTCATTCCCCGGCCCCTGGCTTCTTCTTCTCCCAGAATCTGCTGACTAATCTGCAGACTATCACAGCTTCGCTAATAAAGTGCAGGATGGTAACAATCGTGCAGTGAAATGTGGTTCTGGCCTCTGTTTTGAGAAGTTAAGAGCGCAGCATGACGTCGCCTCCAGCTCCATGTGGGACCTTTTAGTTACTCAGCGTGCTGCTTCACTGATCCTCAGGGATGATGGGTGTTGGTCAGGGGTGGATTAAAAACTTGGAGCTCTGTGGTAACGTTTGCTAAAGTTTGCTGATTAATAATAATATTCATTGATAATAGTACAAACAAGATAAAGTATATAGTACATGTAGCACTGGGCACAAATGAGCGCCTGAAGCTCCTGGGTGGGATGATCCGCTGGCTAAATGAATCATCACGAGAGGAATACATTTTCATGGCAATCCATCTAATACTTGTTGAGATATTTGAGATTATTTAGGGGTGGGCCGACCAACACTGCCATCCCGGGATTGTGGGTAAACATGTTAGTACTTTTTTTTCCTTTTGCCATTTAATCAATCTCCCCCCATCTCTTCTCTCCTGGCAGGTGAGTATGTGGTATTGAGCGTGTACTTTGACCTCAGCAGAAGAATGGGCTACTTCACCATCCAGACCTACATCCCCTGTATCCTGACTGTGGTCCTCTCCTGGGTCTCCTTCTGGATCAAGAGCGACGCCACGCCTGCAAGGACGGCCTTAGGTACACACACCTGCACCACCCGTGTGGCTGCGAGGGGGAGCTGCACTTCATGTGGAAAGGGCTCATATAACTATATAATATGTGCTCCATTTGCTTTAATTGAAGTGATGGGAATACTTTCACCAGATAGTATGAATGTCTCTGCTCATTCACGCCATATCTGAGTCTAATATGAGGAAAATGAATCCGAGATTGGTGGCCGGATTTAAAGCATTTTTGATAATTCATTCAATCTGAGATGTAGACCGCTTGATAGCAAAAGCAATAATCTCTTTTTGATTGGTAACTGCAATATTATAACTCAGCCTTTGTTGCAGTGGTTATTACCGGCAAAAGCAATCGTATTACTGGAATACTTGCACATCACTCAACATTGTTGTGGAGTAAGAGAACAAAAACCATAAGTCTGTGTGTGTGTGTTATACAGTATATGAGCCACTCATAAATGAATGTGCATGTTTCACCTTGAGCTGTTCATTAAGCCTAATTTGAAATGTGTGTCCCATCAGTGTTTGTATTACCGTATCATCCTTTATTGTGGTGTTAATCTTATTGTCTTTGCATGAGTTGACAATTATTTTTGAATGATTTTCCTCCCCCGCTGCATGCCTACCATCAGTTCATATGCTTTCCTGTGGATGCTGATGTTGTGCTGGCTGGTCCTTATTTAAGGTGGAACTAAAGGTAAGTGTCTGGAGGGGTCATGTCCATGACAGTATAGAGTCAATATATAGACTGTTTATCCAATTGGCGAATTCAAAAACTACCGTAGGCGAGGTATCCATCCTTTCAATATTTAACGATTTTACAATTTAGTGGAGAACGCAGGATTAAAAAGAGAAAGACACCAAATTAGTTTAAATTGAGGAAAAATGTGGAGACAAAAAATCTCAAAGTAAAGTGATATTAGTGTGATTTAATAGCAGCAGTGTACTCCAGACGAGTAGATAAAATGATCAAATAATGGTATTTAGTGCTTGCCTTTAACATAGAATGGTAATACAATATAAAATATGATGCAACAATCAGTAAAATGACATACTATACTATGTGAATTATGATGTAGTATGGGTTAAGGTGAAAGGTAATAATATAACATAACACAGTACAACAATTCAGTATGGGCTTATATTGTTATAATCTATTCTGAGTCTCCTGAAAAAGAACAGTCTGCTCTGTCCTTTCCTGAAGAGGACCTCAGTGTTATGAGATTTGTCGACTTTGTCTTGATTTGGAACCCAATGCGAGTAACCCCCCCCCTCCACTTCCTCTCCCTGGAAGATAACCAGGACAGGGGGCCCCCTGTTCCTCACATAGTCCACCACCCGCTCTCCAGTCTTGTGAAGGAGCCTCAGGTGATTATTGCCCCACGTGGCGAACAACGATCAACAAAGGTGGCAGGAACCAGAGTTACAGCGGAGGTGCAAATAGTAGAGAGGAAATTGTTGCTTATCACAACCTCAGAGGCATCCACCCTGACCAGTGGACCAGAATGTAGAGACTGTAGCTGTAGTGGCCAGAAGCTTAACCTTAAGGAGAGGGCTGGATGGAGTCAGAGAACTTGATTCTCACAGTGCTTCTCCGGGTGTGAGAGGGCCCTCTCTGTCAGGAAGATGATAGCATCCTCTTCTTTGTTTGGTTGGGATGACAATTGCAGCCGGTCCAGGAAAGCAGTCAGCAGGGTCCTCGGGTGACTGGGTCTGGCCCACTAGCTCTGATTGTTTGGAGTCCAGAGAGCTCCTCTTCCACCTTTTAACCCAAAGAAGATCTTTAGCGGTATATGTATTTATCTCTCGATGCTTTCTCTTACCTTGGTTCATCATCACTGTGCTAACTTTGCTATTAGCGCTAAACACAAAGTAGGGCTGAGGGTGAAGGGAATGTTTTTAGTTTAGGACTATTTGAACAGTTTGAACTGATAATGACTGTGGTAGCCTCTGGACTTCAGCCAGATTGCAAATTGTATTTTCTGATAACCAACACTGACTCAGCCCCCGCTACGCCATTTAATTACGTGCTAATTTAATTTACTGGCTGATTATTCTATAGCTGGTTTACCTCACTTGAATCTACTTTACTTATGTGGAACTTGTATAACGTGTAATGGCTAAGATGGGCAGCTAATGAAAGCCTAAAATATAGCAACTGAGTCATGTCCATTCATTCTACTACCTAATCATTATATTGTAGTTGCACGTATTACATTTGTTATTTTAGTGTATTTGGCAGGTCGAGTCAACGTATGACTACCAATATTTGGGGAGGGGTTGCTCATTTACTCCTCTGGGGAGGACCTGGTTGCAATGTGACGGCGTAAATTGGAGTAGAAATTAGTAGTTAAAATGTCCCCTCGGCTCTCTGGCACTTTGGTAATACTTGTTGACTCTTATATCACGCACTTGACCCCAAGAACTGAACCCGATACGACCTCTCCAACCACCTTCACCCCCCACGATGTCACTTGAACCGAGACGGCACACACAACTCTGAAGTACTTTAATTACACTCAGCCCCCGCCCCCCCCCCCCCCCCCCCCCCCCCCCCCCTGCATCGGCCTGCCAGTCAGCCAATATCACAGAAGGTCATGTGGAACGCCTCAGTGGTAATGAAGAAGTTATATTGGAGTTCTGTCCTTATCAAGCGCAAAGAGGGAACTTCACTGATAGTTGAACAATAAAGTCGTCTCATGTTATCTCAAATTCATTCATAAGCTAGCGTTGTTACTTAAGCATGCGCTGGGCTAAATGCAGCCTTTGGTCTCGTGCCGTTAATGAAAGCTGATCATAAGAAGAGATTGTGTTGTGCGTTCTGCTCAGGATACTTTTTGTTGTTGGGTTGACAAGGTGACAGTTGAACATCAAACTAGAAGATGAAGATACGTTGGGGAAGTTTTGCTTCATGTTTATTTGGCTGCAAAGGAAACATTGCATCGCAGTTATAGCTCTTAACAGCTTGCTGCTGTTATTTGATATATTATCACTCTGCTCACAATGTGTGTGCCCGTCTGTCTCTCCACGTCTCTGTCAACCTGTCTGTCTTGGCTGCTTACCTAAAAAAAAGAACCCCAGCCGACGCTTACAGTACGTGGGTGGCGGTGTGATACATGACCAAAGGCAGTGACAAGCTTGTGATCTCCCTCAAACAGGTAGCGCAGAGAAGCAAGCTGTCCCAGTCCTGATAAACATCCCCATTCGGCTCAACAACAGAAAGTCATTCAGCCTTTCTTCTCGAGCACATCGCCCCCGTTTTCAAGTCGGCCTGAGACCTGATCCCAGAGCTGAAAGGGAGTGAGGGGAGATAAGAGGGGAACAAAACAAGAGTGTTAAGTGAAAGGCTCTGGTATGTAGCGCCAGGCGAGGAAATGTCAGTCGGAGGGAGGAGGATTGGTCGGACAGCGGAGAGGTTGAAGTGGAAGGAAAAGGCAGGTGATGCCGCAACCCCCACCCAACCCCTCAAGGCAGTGTTCCTTGACAAGCTGCTAACATGTTCCAGGTGGTATTTCCAAAGAGCTGTCACTCACCTGCTTCAGCGGCAGGACGTGTGGATATGAGGGGTGGGAAATAATTCCACCTCCAGGCACAAGTTGAGAATGTAGCGCTCGAGAGGGTGAAAGGGAACTGGAGTTCATTAAATTGATTGATTGTAGTGTTTCTTGGGAGGAGAGTCTCCGTTATCCACCATTTTCACTGGAACTGTTTTAAACCAAAGGATTTGCTTCAATGCCCAAACAACTCCCTGTTTTTAGTATTTATTCATCTCAAATATTATATATATAAACAAGGTTTCCCAGTGAGAGCTGTCATTCACACACATGCCTGAGCTGACAATGTTCCTCATGGAAACTCTACCAAGAAGGCAGCGAGTTGAAGATAGGAGGAAGTACAGAGACATCGGTCCCTGAACTGTGCTGTGGAGAGATGAGGAATCTAAATGGGATGCTCTGTTCACCACAGACACAAACTCTGTTTGTTTAGGGTTAAAGGAAAATATACTTCATATACTGTAGTAAAAATCATCAATACATGAAAGTTTCTCATATATCACGGTGTATAAATATAGAGCTGACCGAAATGCCTCGCTGGGTAAATATATTATAGACGAGAGACGCCGTTAAGTCCCAAGTGTGTCCTTGGTCAGAGGGGACTCGTGTCGGGCCATCTCACTGATTACATGCATGGCTTTAAGTCTAGGCCTCTACGCTGTGCGGGAAACACCTTTAATCAGATTAGACTGAAGTTGCCATGTGTAGTATTTTAACCTCAATCATGAGCCCATTAATTTGTAAGCATCAGCATAATTACCACAAACAAACAAGCTCTCGCAGAGGAGACCGTCGGCTCCGATGTGCACCGCATCTTACTTTGTGTCGGTGTGGTGTAAAATGTGCCAGAGTGCTTCAGAGTTAAAACCAGGAATGCCTTCGCTTTTGCAAATAACACGCTTTTATTCCACTTCAACTGTTCTCACTGCATAATTCCAACCTCACATTAAGCCTACTTTGTCAGAACATATATATTCACTGTTATTTGGGGCCGCAGTGATCTCTTATCTTTCTTCTTGCTATTCAAAACAAGCATACTGATGCAAACCCTAGTGACAGAGGACTGAAACTGGCCAAAACAGCGAATGCTTAGTCTTAGCTTATTGTTGTAAAAACATGCGCGGAAGTTACAAATTGCAGCTGTAATGTCGAAAAACTCAGCTTTTCAGTTGAATAAAAGAAATAAAACACTGGTCTTAAGTCTGTAGTCAAAATAAAATCCATGCAGTCTTGTGACCCGGCCACTGGTGGTACTCAGTCCTATTTTTAGACGCTCCACGAACACGAGCTTTGGTCTGTTCCAGGTGGTTTACCTCTGGACACATCACAAAACATATCGTTGCAGCACCCCATCACTGTTTTATGCCCAATGTCTTTGAAATCTAATTTTGTAAATGCATGTTTTCTCAACAACCAAAATAAAACAAATCTCTGCTTTCTCTCTGCTGTGATTACATCGTGAATACTATTCTGTAGCATATTTGTTTTGCACAGGCATATGCACTGGAGCTCTTACTTCTTTGTGATGGCTCTTGTTTTCCGTCTGTCGATGTGAGACTTGGGAGTGTTGTTCCGATCGCCTGCACAGACAGAAATCACCCTGTTGCTATGGCATCGTGTCGATTCCCACAGAATGAATGAAACTGTACTGATTTAGCAGCAAACTGAGTAGCTTGTGATTAAGATAAAAAGACTGAGAAAAAGATGGTGTTAATGGACTTGCTGTTTTCAGTACATTTGAATTTGAACAGAAAGTAAGATTTGGGGTATTAGAAGCAGAGCTTTTTTCATTTACCTAGTTTGGTGTTTAAATGTAATGAGCTGGCGAATAAGAGGAAGTCTAGACGAGCACTAAACCAAAGGAGGTAGCTTGAAATAGATGTGAGCAACTCGTCTCTATGGAAACCACAGGTGAAAACAGTGGCGCACTCTGCCACGGAAGACATGCGGGAGATGAGGATGAAAGGGACACAGGAGAGTGGGGGAGAAAAGGGGTGAGGGAGAAAGAGCGGACGAGAGGGAAAGACGGCAAGCTTACGGGAATGGTATAGATGTACAGTAGATACCGATGCACCCACTGGGTTCATCTTTCTTTGAAAGTAGTATCTTAAACAATGGCAGTGATGACACCAGTAACACAAACCGCAAAAAATTATCTTCAATTACGATTGTTATTATAGTGCGACAGTAATTTGATACCAGCCACTATAACAATTTTCCACCTATTTCAGGAAAGGTTAGTTACCTCATGAAGCGGCTCAGGAGTGTAAACACTGAATACAAGATACTTGATAATACATCAGTTGTGAAAACTAACTGTACCAAGAAAAGTAATTGTACTATTTATAATTGGATGGATTGGTGTATAATTGGAAGGCATTTGTCTTTTCAGAGATCTGCATATACACGCGACAATGTCATCCATTGAACTACACAGCCATGGGTGGCAGTGCCTGGGCATGGCGTTCAGAATGTATTTATGCCATACTATATCATTTTTTACAACATTATTTATGACCATAGTATGTCAAAGTATAAAATACAAACAGTATTAGTATGTTGAAAATGATCATAAAAAGTTTTAAAAAAAAACTAATTAAACTTTAGAAAGTCATAGTATAGTATGTCAAAATTCATAGTGCAATGGGTTGAAAAAATATATTTAAAAAGTCCACAGTAGTTGTGTCAAAATGTCAAAAAACAGTTCTAGTGTAGTTTGTCAAATCAAGTTCTAAAAGTCAGTACAGTATCATGACGTCATTACATAGTATGGTGAAGAGTCATAAAAAGGCTGAAACAAAGTCATAGTTTTCAATTTTTTTCATAGTCTGTCGAAACCGCTCCTCTATCTCCCTGCCCTATTGGCCCCAGCACACTACAGGCATGTCCTGGCATATTCCATCATTCGATTTAAACCCGTGATCTTCTGTCTTTCAAACACACGTGATAGAACTCATATCAGCTGCTTTTGTCAAACTTAATCCACAACGTCTCAATAACTGTTGGTGTCACTTTTCTATGATAGTTACTACAACAGACGTATTTACTACGAAGAAGACGTTAACACGCTTGGTTGTCCTCACCTTTCGTCCAGTCGCCTCGGTAGAAAAACAAGACTTGCATCGTTATTTGTCTTCTTTGCAGGCCTGGCCTCAAATTAAACTGCATTGAACCAACAACCACCTGACTTCGTCATAAGATTTGAACCCATGATATCAGGTGCAGGGCTTTTTGAAGAAATGACTCCACAAGGATATGATATTTATTACAACAGACCACTACAGTATGAAGAAGATGTGGGTGACACTTGGTTGTCCTCGCCTTTCTTCCAACAACGCAGTCAACTAGGTAGAAAATAAAAGGACAACAATTTATTGGCAATATTCTGCTTAAATACAGTTGTGAAATTTCTCACACAGTAAGGAAAAGGTAGTGTGTTAAGAGCAAAATATATAAGCAAAAGAAATTAGTATAGTGTGTCTACAAAAGTTGCATTAAGTCAAAGTATAGTCTGTCAAAACATATAGTATATGGAAAAACAGTCTTAATTGTGATGCGGCTTCACTGTAGAGAAAATCTTCTTAGATATAATTGTAGCACACTTTAGGCTGTGGGAGGAAAAACTGATTATTTTATTATTCTACTTCACCACACTCACAGACAATCCCCACTTCAGCTGTTTAATAGAGGAACAGGATTGATGCGAGAATCTACCCAGAATACCCCATTGATGGTGATTAATCTGCCCACATGTTATATAATCACTGACTGGAGTCATTGGGTCACCCCAGTGCCATCCATCGTGAAGTATTTATTGCTGCATTACTCATACGTGCATTACCTCCCTAGGCATCACCACGGTACTGACCATGACCACCCTGAGCACGGTGGCCAGGAACTCACTACCGAGAGTGTCCTACGTGACGGCCATGGACTTGTTTGTCACCGTCTGCTTCCTGTTCGTCTTCGCTGCCATGATCGAGTACGCCATGCTCAACTACTACTCCTACAGCATACGCAGACCTCCTGCCAAGATGCAGAGAATGGTAGGCCTCTGGTGAATGTCGGAGTAATGGGCTGGGACTGTATATTTGCTGTGCATTGCTTTGTTAAAATCCACCTCCGCTACCGCTAATTTTCTTCTATGGGCACAGCTGCACAAGTCAGCCTGTAAATCATGCATCGTTTATATAATACTCTCAATAACATGGATGGATTGATGAATGAGGACTACAAAACAACAAAGTACATCTGCAGAGTTAATGAAAATTTGCTAAATGGCGTAATGCAATTTCTGTTAAGTTGCAATATTTATTAAAGGCATAATGTGTGTCAAAATACCATCTTTCATTACATATTGTGACAGATGTCTTGTTCTACACATCACATTCTACAGACCCCCGCAAACCTCCAACTCCATCGACCACAAGTGACTCAAAATGACTACAAAGAGACAGAAACCGAGCACAAAGAGAAACGACCAGTAGTCTTTCAGGCTGGGTGGGTTAGGGCGGCGGGCCCGTTTTATGTCTGTGCCTCGGGGCCTATTATCCCATAGTCTGTCCGTGTGTATCACGACTGTATTAATAATTATCTCATTAGTTTAAGGACAGTAGGTTCATGGGTGCCATAGCAACCTTGGCCGTCAAAACCCCCGGGCACCCATGAGATCAGTACCAATGATTGTGAGGTAGCTGTGAGGACAAGGGGATAAAAACAGCACCTTGAAAATCTGACGATAGTCGCTACCTGAAAATTAAATAAGCATTTGAATGTCGACTAATGGTGCCTTCAGAAACGCGTTCCGATTGAATCCATAGGGTGTCGACATCTGTCAGTGACAAACATTTCTTCTCCAGCAATCGCTGCTGTGCTGTGTGGGCGTGCTCGAGGCTGCACCTGCCGCGAACGCTTCAACGGCAGCAGCGCAGATCTACAAAGACCGAGTCAGCCGCTGCTGCTGTCATTTCCCTCTCTCCAGATTCCCTCCCTCTTCATTATTCCTCCCGGTGAAGAGGACTTTTGCTGAATATGTCGGCTCGGCCTGAACATTTAAGTTCTGTTACATTCAGTCCCCTCCTCTGCATTTCTGGCTTAGTGCTGTGTTTTGGCCTAGTCTGTCTGTGGGGAAGCCTCATATTTACCTCCACCCGTGTGGCCCCTTTGTGCCTCCCACTCAGTCAATTCTGTTACCCAACAAGACTATTTCTCTCCCCCTCTCGCCTCCCACTCTTCTTGTAACAGCTGAGTGGAGGACTGGAAAATTTTACGAAGATTTTTGCCCCAATTAGGTTGTCCTAATACCATTTGAAAAACATCAGGGAGCAAGTCACACAATAAACTTTCTCAGGAGTTTTCAGCATTCAAGTAATAAAAAGCACGACAATATATAATATGTATATAATAATAACGATTGTTTTTATATGTTTGAACAGTATTGTACTTCAATATATATTCAATTCCCCAGAGCTAGACATTCATTAGCTCGTCTTGTTCTTGTATTGCAGTGTAGAGCTAGTTACTAGTCAAGTAGTCACCGGTCAATAATAACTCTCACTGTCATCCCATACAGGCCTACTCATCTTTCAACATGGGGCACGCCCCTCGCTCCATGATGCCCGTGGGCAACTCCCTGTTCTGGCAGGACTACGACGACAACTGCCTGTACGAGTGCCTGGACGGGAAAGACTGCAAGAGCTTCTTCTGCTGCTACGAGGAGTGTAAAGAAGGCGGCTGGAGGAAAGGCCGCATCCACGTCAACATCTGCGAGCTGGACGCCTACTCGCGGGTTTTCTTCCCCACCTCCTTCTTGCTCTTCAACATAGTCTACTGGGTCAGCTACCTCTACCTCTAGTCTAGTCCGTGGGCCCTGCTGAGACAGCCACGGCCCCCCGCCACTTTGCTCGTGATTTAACATCAAAACTAAGCGTGGCGGAGGAAATGAGGTGGATCCGCTCTGTGGGAATTGTGAAAAGACACACGTGCGCCACGTGAAGGCCATGCTGCTTTGAGCAGTGGCACTCCGAGGACAACAAGCCGCCAGCATTAACTCGAATGGATAGTTCCCGTTGATGACTCTCTCAGAAACCAAACGACAGACAGATGGGACTTCGGAGACGTTTAGGGACAGGGTTGCGTTGCTGAATCTTGGTCATCGAGATGGCGAAGCACCCATAGTGCCTTCTTTAGAAAGGGTGCGGCACCAAGAGACCCGGCTTCAGAGTTCACTCCATTAACTTTATTACCTCATCCACCACATGCTGAGCTGTCTATCCTTTGATGAAACTAACCCAGAAGACCACTGGAGATATTTAAAACGAACACCCATCATTCATTTTGTAGCACCCTAGAATTAGTTCTACTTTATAATAACTGCAGCATTTTCTTTTCATTATTATTAGAAGTGGTTGTACTTTAACAGCAGGTCAACTAGCTCACCCATCAGTTGGTACTTGTTGAACATGAGTTGGTGTCGGGGCAGTGGCTGTCTAGTAAAATCTTGTTTATGCTTCATGACCAGACGATGCAGTTTACAGTAAATGCCAAGAAGATTTAGATGTTTTATAATAAAAGTTGGGTTACATGCAAAATGTTTAAGAACTGCGTAAAGACAAACCAATCTAATACCAAACATGCTAATCTCATCCGTATGGTACAGTCAATGAATAAACACGTTAGGGTAGAGCAGAGCTGCTTTCTTCCTGACAACAGCTACATAAACATATATACCTTTTCACATTTTACACCCTTTTATCCTTATTCATACAGAATGCTGTTGTGTTTATTTTGCATTAGTCATTCCCTCTAGTTTCAAAAGTAGAGCTTGAGTGCATAAAATTGTCTTGATGAAAGCTTCAGTTTCTCTCATGTCCTGCCACACGCAGGACCTAAAGGTACCCTGTGCTGTGCCCTGCTGGCAATGATCACAGGTGCTGTAAAATAGGTTCTATATATTGTGATACTCCATACACTACACTTTACACAGCGCTGTTGGGAAATGGATGATCCGGGATGACTCTTGCTCCTTGTCCGCGACAACAAACACAGCGTTTGAGACGTTACGGTTATGTTTACTGTTCTATGGTGTTTTTTGCAGTCGTTTGGCTTCGTAGAACAATCGACCCCTTATCCTCCTCTTCCCCCGACACACCCCCCCCCCGGTATTTGTATGTTCAGAGAAAAGCTTTTATGTAAGATGTTCATTAATGGCTAATTAATGTTTCTATTTTCATACCGTTCTATATGGAATGTAAGTTAGGCCAGTAGCGAGGCCAGAGTCAGTCTGGTTCCAGTTCAGTCAGTTCAAGCAGCCTGAATGACTTTATTCCTCGGGGTCCTACATATTCATGAGGCGTCCAGACACATTTGTGGCCTGTCCAGAGGTTTGCAATTACGATTCAGACCGCCTCGAGTGATGCTGCAGAAACAGCTGAGGGGCTGTAGTACGCAGCAGGCATGTAGTTACTCTGCTGGGGTATCACGTCAGCTCATCAGAGACGGTGACATTTCATTAGTATTTTAGATCCAAGAACTGACTGAATTGACCAGAGCTTGGCCCACACCGCAGTAAACTCTCCTCACCTCTGATATTTCTACCTACACTTTATAAGTGTCTTGGTCCGTTGAGATACTTCAATAAAACAAAATCACTATTTTCTACGTCTTAATGAAAATCACCTGTGCGTTTTCAGCTGACTGGGACCTGTATTCATAAAGCCTCTTTGGCATCAGAGTACTAACCCGGGATCAGCGCTGGCGAGCATAATGAACTCGCTCAAGACCCTCTTCCGGAGACCTCGTCACCCCAATTAAAGCTTTCCCTGCTTCTCTGAAAAACGGTGCGTCACAAAAACATGTAGCGCTCCTCTGCTTCATCCTGCGGACCAATTCTGTTTTGATTTGTCGGTGAGGTCTCTGGGGGGTGTACGAACGAAAAAGCCACTCTGACTTTGGATCAGCACTCTTGGGGGAAATATTTTATGAACACAGGATCTAGAGTGAAAATAGGTATCTTTTTTCTAGTGCGTGGTACATTGCTTATATTAATAAATAACGTTTTGGTCAAGTGCTACTGTGAAGTCTTTTTCTGAGAGACTGGAAACTGGAAACTGCATCATTGTCGGGTTCTACACTTCTAACCACAAAAGCATGTAGATTAGACAATCTAAAGAGATTTAACTGTTTTAACCAAGTCTCAATTTATCTTTTTGAGCCCCAAAGACCTTCACAACACTCTCTATATATACTTCAACCTGCTGCCAAGATCCTTTGCCACACACAACACATAAATCAGCTGCTGGATTATAGCCTAAAATCACAAATGTGTCCCAGAGAGCTCTGCAGTCTCGACACAACATGCAACACCGTCTATCCTTAGACTGCTGATTTGAATACAGACAAACAGCACAAAAATAACTTCACAAAGAGCGCAGGAAGGGCAACAGAGGAGGGATCCCTGTTGTGGGACCAGTGCTGCAAGAAGTCCTCAGATCTTTTATTTAAAGAGGCAATCTCCATTCAAATAAATCTGTTTAGTCACACTCGCCGAAGGAGGTAACACAACAGCGATTGAGCTTGTGGCCCGCCGGTGGAAGAATTGCAATTTTAGATATTTGCAGATTTACAAACTGGGTGTGTTTGGCAACATTTACAGAAAAACATGTGTTATGTACACGCAGAGAAATGGAACTACGGACACATTTCGTTCAACCAAACTCTGAGCACAATTCCATTGTTTTCACTACAGACTAGAGTCTTAAGGATTGATTCCAGAGTGTACAAATATTCTGTTCAAAGGAAAAGTTGAACTCAATGGAAAAGAACACCTCCATGACAATTCTAATGTTATTTCCATAGCCTAGGAAAGTTCAAGTTTTCAAGTTGTGAGCTAGAAATACTATGAATAGTCCCTAAGATGCAACATAACCTGACTTTGCATTCATTTGCTGAAGGGACATAGCAGATGTTCTATCTATAAGCATTTAAACGATATGAGTCGTTTTCACTTGATGCAACCCCGAGCAGCATCATCTGTAACCTTGAACAGGATTACTCCATTGCACATTCATTGGTTTCATTAGTCCAAAAAAAAACAAATCAAAGCTCTAATTCAATGTTCTGATGGGCAAGTTGACAAATGAAGCTCTCTGTAAACAACAGACTGCGTTACAACTGTCCTCAGGCCCGCCTCATAACAATGACACGACTAATACCCAGCGACGGATGCATGAGCACGTCACGGCTTTACGCCGAGTTTGCTGACCTAGTTAGAAGCGAGCGCCGCGCGCCAAGTACAGGCGAGCGGACAGACAAGAAAGTGGAGTCTGAGTGGCGGATGCGACAGCGTGGAGCCGCCGAAAAAGCTGGAAGAGGCTCGTGCGACCCACGCAAGGCAAAAAAAAAAAGCAGGACGGAGAGATGCACTTACAGTGGGTACGGAAAGTATTCAGACCCCTTTAAATTTTTCTCTTTGTTTCATTGCAGCCATTTGCTAAAATCAAAAAAGTTCATTT